TTCAGCAGGCAGAGGCACAGGATTACACGCTGTCAAAGAACGGGGACATCACAGATGTCAGCAACCAGCTAACAGACAGTGGTGAACAAAGTCAACTACTGCACCTCAGCATGCACCCTCTTACTGCGCATACCTGAATACAACCCATGGAAAGGTAATTTGCTGTTACATGCTAACAGTTACCATTCAGTGAAGGAGTTGCAGACTCTACACTTTCAAACATTCAGCTAGGAAGAAGCAAAGGGAAAAGTATTTGTGACTTTCAGTTGGGCACTTCTGTGACGTTTCACCAGTTCGAAATGCATCGGGAGCAGCAATGCAGAGACATCATTTGAACAAAAAAATACCCCCAAAACCATTCTAACCTTCGGTCATTTACTGTAGGTCACACTGTTTGTTTCACAGGCAAGTTCTGATCAGATGGCTGAGTATTTCCTCAATCCACGACTGGACAGATTGCTAAAATGAGTGACCCTCACACCAGAAATCAAGGACTGCTTTGAGGCTGCAGTTTCAGTAGACGTTATCCCTGCTGTTTGGGCCACTTGTCTCTTTCCACTATTCAACGATATCCAGACAAACCAATGCAGCTGCCAGCTCACCTCTGCAGTATGTTTTCTAGACTGCACTGATGTATTCCCATTTAAAATAAAGCAACTGCTCTCTCCCAGGGCATGTTCCTATGCTGTCAGCCCTCCTCTTTCATAGGTCTCCTGGCATTCTTGACAAGGAAGGCACTCTGTGCTTACTATTCTAGAAGGAGATTTCTTTTCACCTGCTCTTACTCAGCATTAGCCCTTTTGCCCCTTTGCAGTCTTCCAGTTGCAGCTTGCTTCAGTCAGTCAAAGGAGAGAAGGAGCTACTGAATTAGGAAATTTTCATTATAAATTGTATTTTAAAGAAAATAAAGTCAATGATAAATCCAAATACTAAATCAGCAGCATCTAAACTGCTCAAAATCGCAGTCTTAGAGAAATGACAGCTTCACTTAACTGCTACCATACATTAAAAAAATAAGAAAGATAACGTCATTCAAAAGCACGTTAGATTTGTTTTCAGAACAACTTTTAAAGCCAAAAATGCCTACGATTATAGGAATTATAAAAACAAACAGTAGTGAAAAACTTAAATCTTGATGCTATAAGACTGGCAGGATCGCTTTTCAGAACGCCTAGAGGAATAACTTCTGGTTGCATCAAATTCAACTGCAAGATGCTGGGTTGCACTTCTAAAGCTTTTGCCACACAGATGAGAAGAATTAGGCAACTAGCACAACCACTGCTGCCCATAGGTACCTTGCAAGTTAGATAAGAAACTGGTTTACCTGCTGTGCTTGGCTGGCAGACAGTTTTACTGGTGCCTAAGGTTGGTTTTCGGGGTGTACTTAAATTCCTTATCCGTTCTATTAACGATTCAAATTCGCCATCCGAGCTATCTGATTCTACCTCTGCACTCTGTTGCAGTGCCACCGTTGGCACTTTATTTTCTGTGCTCTTCTCACAGCTTCTTTTTTTCCTTCCAAGGAGCAAGTCTGGACTGTCTCTGGAAATCGACTCTTTTGGACTTTGTGGAGGCGGGAGTTCTATGCACCCCTGACTCTCTTTCAAGTCTTTCATTCCCCTTTTTTGGGGGTCACACCACGAACTCTCTACAAAGACAGAATCTTCAGAGTCACTTGAAGTCTCCGAATACTGCAATTCTTGGCAGCAAGTGCTTTTCTTTGCAGAAGTCACCAAACTCTTTGGGGTCTGGAAAGCCGCCTGTGCTGCAATTCAAAAGAAACAGCTTAAAGTTTTGGTAATTTCATTTAGGAAACCTGCCTAAAAAAAATAATCCTTGAAAGACAGGAAAATACAAGGAATAAAAAGACACATTCACATTTTCTTTACTACAGCCTGCTCATTTGCAGTCATACTGAATGGAAAGTCACTGAAAGATGTATGAGAAAAAAACCTTAGCTTAAACCCCATCAACCATCAGGCCTAACAATTTGAATAGGTAGCAAGCACTGGCATAACCTTTATTCCCAGTAACAAAAGCTACATGCGTGTAAGACTAAGGCTGGACATTTCATACTGACGTTTTATAAAGCCGCCAGGTGAATGGTGACTGAAAAATCCTTGGCCTAAACTGCTCAGACCACAGTTTACAGCACAGAGCACACAGCTGCCAACAAACAAGGCTTCCGATAGCTCAGATTTTACCTGTCAAGATCAAGGGATCGTGTCAGATCTATTGGTGACCCCTTTTTTTTTTTAATGATGCTTCTGGGTCCACTTTTCTTCCTGTTTCCCCTCCAGAAACCATCCCATTAACTTTGCACAGCCTGCAGCGGGCACATTCATGGTTGACATTCACACCAGCTGCAAGAGATCCCATCTTTCTTGACCAGGGGTCAGAGCTTTCTGCAGGTTCACGAGGTCATCATTGTCATCCCTCAGCTACCAGACTTCTATCAGCCGATTGTGACCTGTGTCAAGAATTCCAGAGCCCTGTTCAGTCCTCCTAGGAAAGTCCAGTTGGCTCACAGCAACGAGAAGTGCCCCAGACAGCTGATGTCAAGCTCCCAATGTTAGTAAACCAAGCACAAAACCTGGGAGAACACAAGGATCCTCTGCTCACACGAGCACTGAATCCCCTCAAGTCACGGTGTCTTGTAGCCAGTATGAACAACATTACACATAGGACCTTGGCTAAAGAAGCTCCAAATTAAAGGACGCTGTCGGTGGCTCTGCAACACCCATAGGCAAAGATTGGCCTGATTGCCAACAAATCAAAATCAAATTAAAGGTATCTAGTTTAACAAGAGTTGCCTTTTCTTTACTCAGTGTCTTTTGGCCACAGAATGAGCTGGTACAGCTACAGGAACACTGCTTTGCATACCTTAAGACTTCTCTCCACAGCAATCACCCCGTATTGTAGCTCAGCCTAATCAACCACGAGTTGCTACTCTCTTCACAGACCCAAATACCAGCAGATACTCCACAGTATCTACAGACCCACAGCAATGCTCCAGAATGTACCCTTATCTGAACAGCGTGACCATGCTGTCCTCTGTCACCCTCAGAGGAAACAGAAAAGCCTCCCCTCTGCTACCCTCAAGGAAGAGATAGAGTGATCTTATGTTTAACAAGCTCTGTCAGAAATCTATGAGCTCAGCAATGAATGCTCTCTTCCCATCCGCTAAAATTCCTTCTTTGTATTTGCTGTTGCACAATTACTTGCCCTTCTTTGTTGTGCTCTTTCTCACTCTAAAGTCCAAGAAGTCATCCGAGTCGTCAATGAAGTCCTTCAAACTGTAACACAAGCAAACAACATGAAAAAGTTAAGCAGAAGGCAGAAAACAGAACAGTGAGTTTGCCTCACTAAGAAAGCACACCAGAAAAAGGTCCCCAATGTAACGTCCAGTAGCTCACAGCAATGTTACCAACTACATCCGTTACCAGGAATGGCAGCAGAACACGTACACCTCCAAACACCCCATTTTACGTTTGACCTGAACAGGCAACAGTTCTTCTGTCTGCACCTGCTCCTATGCACGTACCAGTCTGTGAATCACTAAAACCTTGATAATTTTTCTGTATTCTGCATAGCAGATATGACACAAAGACTTACACCTAAACATCGAAAAGTCGTTCATTAAAGCACCCACCTCGCATTCGCCTTCTTAGAAACAGATTTGGGAGTTTTCATTCTGGCTAAAACTGAAACAATAAAAGATTAGTAAAAAAAAAGGTACTGTTTTGTTTGTTTATGCATTTTTTAAAGAGAAAAAGTTCACAACTAATAAAAATTCAGTCTAAATTCTTAAAAAAACCTAAGAATCCTTTACATACAGTTTCAGCTCTCAGCTCCTCAAAGCTGACAGCGGCTGTCTAGCATTCCCCTCATGATTCAATCCTTGCCCAGCACAAAGCCAGGTAAGAAGTGCTGCTGTGTGTCTTACAGTACCCAGCACAGCCTCCTCCCACACGTGCATCATTCAAGGTGGAATTGAAAGGGTTTATCAGTATTTTCTCCAAGCATTTCAATGACTGCAGGTAGCAGTTCTCCTACTGCAAAGAGGTGTCCATGCGCTTATTCCGCTAAGTGACTCAAATAAAATAAGAGTTCAAACCAAATGGTAACAATAATGGGAACAACAGCGATCCAGTACTACTGCTCAGAAATAAATGCTTTTTAATCACTCCAGGAATAGTGTGGTGACTGCTAAACATGAAAACACCTTTCAGGCAGCAGTACCGCACGTGCTCGAAGTAGTGACTCTTGAGAGATTCAGAAACGCCACCGAAATTTCACACACCGTCATTATAAGATGTTCAGGGAAACTGAAGCAGGGCAAATTTCATCGAAGCATACATCAGGCTGGAGAGAAGGGAAACAACTGTCCTTCCTTCAAAACCTAATGGCCCAAAAGAGCAGCTAAGGGGTGCTTGTTCTCACAACCTGAAGTTGCAGGCGTTACTTCAATGGGATTATAAACTTCTGCTCTATGCTGTAAACCCAAAAGCAGAAGACAGGTTTGCTTGACAAAGCTGTTATGGCTGATCAGTAGATTCTGGTGCAAAGAAGAGCAGCTGAGGTCCACCCAGATGCTACCCTGAAAGCACGCTAAGTTCAAAAGCATAGGGTAAGGCCGAGTGCCATCCTCTTTGAAGAGGAGCACAAGGCAGGAAAAAAAAAGCATTCAAGGCCTTGAAGCTCAACGAGTATTTGGAGCACTGAGTTCTTTTCTGTTTTAGCACCCAATAATCTTCACCGCTACCTTCATTACAAAAGAAATAAACACAGCCCCTGCTGCCTTCCAAGCCACCACATCACGGTGGCTCACTGAAGCACAAAAGGCCAGCAGCTTTCCTGTATGACCATAACCAGAGCTCCTCAGAGCATGAAACAGCATCAGACCGACCAGGCTGACAGCTGGTCATGGGAAACCAAAAGCTTACGGAAATGTGGGACTTGCTCCTTACTAAATCAATTCTCTTTAGTTTTGAAATCCCACCAGACTGAGAGCACAACCTCCCTTTGGTGAGTGTCTGCTTTTGAAGTGCTCTGAGCTGGTTCATCACGCTTGCTCCACCACCATTTTTGTGTGTTGTTGCTGTAGATGATCCATTTTCCATCGCCTGTTATCATGTGTTTCAAAAACGGATCTTTCTCCTCACGTTTCAAGAGAGAGTCACAGACATCAACGCACTTAGTGAGATTAACTTCACTGAGCTCACGTGGTACCCAAGTATCAAGCTTCCTAACGTATCCAAGTTGTTTTAAACGGTTTTCAATGCTCAATTTCGATATGTTAAGATTTACCAGCAAGTTCTCGCGTCATTAAATTGATTCAATCAACGCCTTTGTTTTGTCGTTACCAACTTTGATTGGCCCTCCTGAGCACAGCGCATCTTTAAAATCAAAATCTCCAGACCGAAATTTAAATTCAAACCAATTCTGACACTGCCGTAGTTTTAAGGCGTCTTCACCATACACATCACGTAACTTTTTATGAGCTTACACAGCGTTTTTTTCCTTTTCTGAAGTAATACAGCAAAATACGATGGAAACGTTCCTTCTGATTTTCCATTCAAATCAATCAAATCAATTTCCAATCAAATTCAACCAATGCCAAATAAATAATTGTTAACGAAATCGTTCGCTCTCTTTCTAAAACAAGCTCCAACTGCCAGCTGTCAAGCTTGAAACTAAGTTAGTTACATTTCAGGGCATGTATGTCCATCTATTAAAACCAAATAAAAGCAATCACTTTTTGACCAGCCCAATGGTAAGGCTTAATAATGGTTAAGGTCATTCACATGGCACAGAAACGGAGCACAGCCTGAACTGTAAAGTAAGGAGAAATCTGCTTTAAAAGCAGCTGCACTAACACGAGAGTGATCTGCAAAAGGCAAAATAAACAAGGCAATAAACTTGTTGCCTTATCATCTCTGTTCGAATGTTGACCACGCAATGAGGAACACGTTGCAAGATTTACAAGTCTTTTAATTACTTACCAGTCTGAAATCCACTTGAGACCTGGCAGAGCCATGATCAGTTCATCTAAGGAATGAGCTAAAGAGAGTTCTTGCAACAGGAAAAAACCCGACAGGTACTCAACTACCCTAGCGCAAAATGATGGTCATAAAGGCTACTACCAAAAAGAAAAACACGAATATCAGGGTTTGTATGAAGAGGCTAAGCATAAGGATAGCAAGTTATGCACACCAGAAGCTATCATGTCACATTTGCTGTTTAAGTCCATCTTACCAAGACCTTGAGCCGCTATGGAAAGGCCAAAAACATCGCTTTGATTGGTTAAGACTCATGCAGCAAAAGCCATGACATGTAAGAGGGAATTCTGAGTAGTTTAGGCATGTTTGGAAGAGTAACTGCTTAGAGAAAGTGTTTACTCAAAGATGCTCTGCAGGCTAAGAAGGAAGAAAGTGAGTGACAAGAAACACACAAAACTAAGAAAAACATAACACAAGGCAAAAGGAATCCAAGGTTGAGCTGCTACAAACACTGCCTTGCAAGGAGAAAATGTACTTTGCAGCAGGAGCAGTGAAAGAAAGCATCAAAACCGCTTCACTATAACTGGATAGAAACGCATCCTTTTCACACTCCTTCAGAGAGCTGACATGTGCTGTTACTTACACATTTCAAATTCATCATCGCTGCTGGAAGAGAAGTACAAGGCATGGCTGCAAAAAAATGAAATGCAGAATAGCATCAGGAGTGTTGCATCAACAGCAAGATCTGCATCTGCTGGCCTGAAATACCTGTGAACACTGAGAAGCAAATACGTACTGAAAAAACACTGAACCTCTCAAATAGGCTGACCTGGTTTAAATTATTTAAAATAGAAATGTTAGAACTTGTATCTTAAAACATAACAGCCATATAAGTTCAATATTCGAGTAGTAATCAACAGCTGTCAAAATCTGAAAGACTGAACCATTTGGAGACACAGGCTTAGGACGTTACATCGGTTTAAGTTCAAATTGCTTATCTGAAGTCACAAGGGACAGAAAGCTTGTTTCTCACCTTGCCCGTGGTGCACGATCGTGCAGAGAACGCCGTGTTGTACTCAGCCTGACACCTCAAAACCCTCGAGGGTGAGAAACAAGCTGCTTTTGTATGAAGTGCACTTCAAGCTTGCCACAGATATTTAGCAAACCACAGTAGCTTTAATAAAACTATTTCAAAAGGTAGAAAGGATGCATTACCACTTCTCATACAAATGTAGAGACTGGTAATAACACCCTTACCATATTATTTCTTTCTAACAAAAACCAGACATCGACAACTTGAAAAATGCACTACATAATTGCTTAGAGTCATAGAACCATAGACTGCATTGGGCTGGAAGGGACCTTTAAAGCTCATCCAGTCCAACCCTGCAGTGAGCAGGGACATTGGTACCAGATCAGGTTGCTCACAGCCCCATCAAGCCTGACCTTGAATATCTCCAGGGATGGGGTCTCCACCAACTCTCTGGGCAACCTGTGCCAGTGATCTACACCCTCATATTGAAGAGCTTTTTCCTGATATCCAACCTAAATCCACCCTTTTCTAGTTTCAAGCCATTGCCTCTGATCCTATTGCTACATCCCCTGGTGAACAGCTCTTCCCCAGATTTCTTATAGGCACCTTTCAGGTCCTGGAAGGTCGCTATAAGGCCCCCCTGGAGCCTTCTCTTCTCCAGGCTGAACAACCCCAACTCTCAGCTATCTTCGTAGAAACAAGAAGACAGCTTCTTTTAATTATACTAGTTACCTAACCTTAAAGACTATAATTCTGAAACATGCTACTACCTACCAATTATCATAAAGCAATTGAGAGCATAATAGAAAGATCTATTTAGAAATGTCCGATAAAAAGGACAT